AAAATGTTTGAAACTTGGTTTTTCAGTTGCAGATTTCTTTGCTCCTGATGAAGAAGGACTTTGCCTTTGAAATCGATAGAGTTCCTATGCTAAAAATCTACACCTAACAAAGGCCATTGCTTCACTTTTGTGATTTATTTCAGATGTGTTTCTCTTCTTGCTACCTACTTCTTTTATAAAACAGAATTTTGATACTTTATGTAAATTTATTTTCATCCTTTTTTATAGTCATGGAGAAGAAACACAATTGATGTTCTGAAGAGAGAAATGCGATTATACCGGAGTTATTAAGAACTTTAAAAAGGAAAGAACTAAGCAAGGGGTGTCCGCTGAAAATGTCGCGGAGAAAACAACGCAAAACGAAAACACTGTAGTACAAAATATCATTGTCGAAGAAAAGAAAGCAAAGAGAAAAAAATCGAAGTTTAAAAAAATACAGCGGTTAAAAAACTCCATAGTTTAAAAACATCATTGCTGAAAATATCATGGTAAAAAAATAAAGTACCTACAATCAGAGCACATATGCATTTTCCTGGTCTTAAAAGTTGTAAGCGTATTTTCAAATAATGATATGGAAGTCGAAGAAGGAATTTTTACTTCTATATTTCATAGTTTTGAATGAACTAATAAATTTTTGCTGAAGAACTCAGAAGGAAATTTAAGCATTTAAAAATTGAAAATGAGTAGAAAATTATAATGCAACTGTATAACACTTAACAGAATTTTAAATTTATATTTACATAGTTAAACAAAGGTTATTAATAAAATAATCTTTTTCTGTAAAGTCTTACTAATAATTTTTCATGGAAAACACAGTCTAAAAAAATGTTTAGAAAAAGGAAGCTAACTAACTGCACGAGGTTACCTCTATAAAAATTGCTTAGTGAATTAACAAATTTTCTTTCATGTTTGTTAATTTGTTATTGTTTTAGTGAAAATTATATCTTGTTTTGTTTCCGTTTATTCTTAAAGTGTCTTTAACATCCCCCCCCCTTTCCCACACTTTCCTTGCGCTCTAAAATCATTATGCAAAAATGCAATTACAACTTTTAAAACCTGGAAAACGCATGTATGCGATGATTTGTAAGTACTTTATTTTTTACCATGATATTTTCAATGACAATGTTTTTTAACCATTTTATTTTCGACTGCAATGTTTTCTCTTTGCTTACTTTTCTCCCACGATGTTTTGTACCATGACATTTTCGTCTTGCTTTGTTTTTTCCACGACGTTTTTGGTTGTAACCAAGTATGGCATTATAACGGCTATGGGTAGGAAACATGATGAGCCAGACAAAACAGTTTTGCCTACCATCAAAACCATTGACCTATCAACACAGAAGAATTTGTCCAAGCTGCTTATATTTCATGCAATGCGTTGAATATCGAAACATTTTAACAATTATTTTTTTTACCTGCAGGAAGTCATGGAATGCATTATGGAGGTTGGTGGAAGAAATATCTATAATCAACCACACATGAAATAGGCAGTGCTTCAACCTCAAAACATATTTGAAATTTATTACTTGTGTCAGAGAATCCATTAGTGTAGTTCATGAAGCAATAAATATTTTTTTTAATGTAATAACATGTAATATGTATAAAATGAAAGTTAGATAAATACTTGTTGTACTCATATAGTTATATCATACTTAAGTTATACTTAAGCCTTGATATTAGCGACAGAGCAGAAAAAAACATTGTTTTTTTTAAAAGAAATAATCATTTATAGAAATCATTTCGATTTGGAGGGATACATTGTATATAAACAATTTAGAAATAAATAAAATAATAATTTTCATGTTTTTAAAATTGTGTTTGCTTTGACTTTTACATTTAGGATTAGAGTAATAATAAAATATGTACCCACTCCTGCTAGCTTAAACAATTAGAGATTGATACCATTTTTCTTAAAACCATATGAGGCGGGTAAAAAAGCCCCAAAAAAGTGAGTCCCATTTTAAGCACTCATTAAAATTTGGTCTGAAACATAGTCGATTTTACCTGGTGATATTAAGACAAAACTTTTCACCTTCCTAAAGGAGCAGACCACTGCGCTGCACTTCCGAAGGAACCTAAAATAATAACCTGGTTCATGTATATTTTGCCCCTACAGCGTAGACTCCCTACATAAGAATTTTAACAATAATGATCAGAAGTCCCTAACTGTGTGGACTTCTGATTTGTATTCAGTGTAGTACAGTAGACGTACGTTAATTCGAACCTTCAGTTAATTAATTCGAACTAATCCAAAGGCTCCCCAAAACTTGTACTGGAACTGATGTTAAAAACATTTCATTAATTCCGAAAATTTTTTATTATTTTAGTTAAATCGAACTAAAATTTTGACAAAAAAATTCTTTTTCCTCCTTTAACGGAGAAAATACATGCTGTATTTATTATTTTGTGTGTTAAAATCTGTATTTCTTTTATGTGTGATGAAGCAATAGTCTGCATTCCTAGACCATATAGCATTTTCACTAAATGTTAGTGGCTATTGTCTATCTTGCTATTGTTAGTCACTAAATGTTAGTGGCTATTGTCTTGCTATTGTTAGTCACTAAACGTTAGTGGCTATGTTAGTGCCCACCTCTTATCAGTGCTTAATGTGCAAAGCTCCCTAACCTATTTCCATGGATTCATTCAAGACTCTTTATGAATGGGTAGGGGGAGAATCATTTGTTATCAGTTTTCTTAGAATTTCAGGAAAACTACAGATTCTAGAGAGCTGCGTAGTTATGCCTGCAGTGCAAACAAGTTTATGTGCTCTAATTTTTCTTTCCTCAGTGTGGTGGGAACATGCAAAAATTCAGAATGTCCACACATGGAAACTAACTTTGGAGACAAAGGTAAAAAATGTAAGGAAAGGAGAGAATGGCAAATGTAAAACAAAGTTAGCAACTGACTGTGGAATTTAAAAAAAAAAAAAAAAAAAAATACCTTGTCAACTTATTTGAAAAAACAAGGAATCAATTTTAGATTCATGGGGAAAATCTAAATTTGCTAGAAGAAGGAAACTCATGAGAAATGTGTCCCAAGAAGATCTAGAAAAAGCTGTATTGCTATGGTTCCAAGAGGCTAGATCTTGAAATTTTTCAAAAAATGGACTCCTACTCCAGATGAAGGCTGATAATTGGCAAGTTGAATGGATGCTGAAGAATTTTAAATGCAGTGATGGATAGCTTTCTCGATTTAAGTCAAGGCATAAGATTTCTCATCAACTTGTATGTGGCCAAAGCTCTGATGTAAGCAAAGATGTATGCACTAATTTTGGTTGGAAACTGCCAGGGCTTTTCTCTACTTACCTACTGAGTACTTTTAATGCTGCGAAACTAAACTTTTTTTATAAATGCTTGTCAAAGAAAACATAACATTTTAAAAGGGATGCTTGCATAATAGGTAAATGCAGTAGACACAGGATTAAAGCTTTAGTTTATGCTAATATGGAAGGTAGTTAAAATCAGCAGTTCTCAACCTTTTGACTAATACGTACCATCTAACCAAAAATCGAAAACCTTTAGTACCACCACTACAATTTACAATGATTATTTTTCAATTTCTGAACAGAAATATTTTTAAAAATATTCCAAAAGCTTTCAGATTTTACATTACGCCCAAAGGGGCTTTTTTTAACATTTTGTGTGTCACCATTACTTATTAAATATCATGTTCTTCACATTTAAACCATAAAATTCAATTCAACAGCAGAAGCACAAAATATTAAACAGAGCATATCCTTAGTATTTCCGCTTGCATGCTGGAGATTGAAATGCTTTTTTTTCATACAGTGTTGCCATTCCTCACTTTGCAATTGTTGAGTTTGTTAATCAAAAATTCATTTCGAGTGTTACAAAATATGAAATGTTGGGATATTTAATTTTTGATTTTAATAGTTAAAAATACTTTGGTTCTTTGCATACCACCAGTTGAGAACCCCTAGTTTAAATTATTATTGATTTGAAAGTCCAGGAATCCACTGTGTTTTATAGGAATTCGAACACTGCCAGTTGTTTATATATTCAATATAAAACCACGTATAACACGAGACATCTTCAGTAACTGGTTAAAAGGTAAGCACTTTTCAAGGCAAAAGCATACTTATTCATGGAGAATGTAACCTGCCACAATAACCTTCCAAAACTGAGTTCCGTACAGGTCGAATATTTTCCGCCAAACATAACTGGGAAGCTACAACCAATGGATCAAGTAATTATCCAGCAATAAAATCCAGCTTAAAACAAATTATTGTAAGATACTAATAGCAAATATTTTTTTCTTTTCAGCGATGATGACATAATAAAAACTACACGAGAAGATGAACAAGGAGAGACATTATCGAATTCGCAGAGACTGTTTTGTGTCCTAATGATCAAGCCATAATAGACTCTAAAACTTCTGAAAGAATCTAATTCAGAAGTCAAACAACAAAAATCAGCGTTATACCTACAAAATTTTCACAGGACTAGTTTCGATGGTTTTACCGAACCATCATCTTCAGCTGCAAAACCGCAAGTGAATTCAGAAGTCAAACAACAAAAATCAGCGTTATACCTACAAAATTTTCACAGGACTAGTTTCGAAGGTTTTACCGAACCATCATCTTCAGCTGCAAAACCGCAAACTTTTGTTGTTTGACTTCTGAATTAGTATTTATTCGGCGTGTTATTGTGTCTTAATTCTGAAAGAATCTTCAGACCTTCAAGTGAGAATAAACTGAAATGTTTACTTCAATTTGAGAAGCTGGCTGAAAAATGTGGGCATAATATCAATACCAAACATACATTTTACAGTTTTTCCCAAAAGTGTAATTCATAATTTTTAATTAAAGTTTACTTTCATAGTTATATTTTCTCTTAACACCAGATAATTTTAATTCTTTTCTGGGAACTTTTGAATTCAAATTAACGAGCGTCCACTGTATAAGCATGCATAATTCCTCTTAATAATTAATTTCTGTTAATTCAATGATTATATTAAAAATTACACAAAACACAACATACCCATGTTCTTTCATGGCATGCAAAAAATTCTCCAACTTCTCAAAGGTGTTCTGAACTAAGAGAAAAGTTTCCTGGTCTATGATAATTTGATTTTCAGGATTCGTCATCTCTATCAATGTTTTCCGCAAGTTCTGATTTTCAGCTTGAGACTGAAAGACATCAGTATATTAGTATATTTTCCACACAAACACATTATAAAGACCTGAAATAATGCAAGATATTTTTTGCCCTTTTTTACATACAAGCTTTCCTACACATGTCTCCTGCAATGTCAGCTCTGCTGATCAAGCAATGCTGAATGCATTAGCATTTCAAGAGTTGAAAAACTTTAACTTTCACACCTACTGCAGCAGAGTTGACCCTGAACAACTACATATTGCTCACAACTACATAGATGTAGCCTAAGGTATGCATAGTTGTTATGCATGTTAAAAAATATACATCTGAAGTAATTAAAACTTTTAATAATTAAAACAGGAGTCTAAAATAAATAACCAATCTAATAGTTTTCCCTGATGCAAGCAATAACAGTAATAAAATAAAGACAATCACTACTAATAATAATCACTACTTTTCTAACCATGAAATTCACTTTTAAATTTAAGGAAGAAATCATAGAAAATACATGCAAAGTATCAGAAGCTAAACTCAATACTATCACAAGTACAGAAAAAAAAAAAAAAAAAAAAAAAAAAGAGATTGCAGCTAATTCAAAACGAAATTATTTTCATATGAAACGAAAGCTCATTTTAAAATTTTGTTATTTTCTGCCCCTGTAAAGATGTACTATCAAATTTGACTTCTTTAAATATCAGTATTCACATTACACTTGAATTAAGGTGCATTCAACTAGTGTTATAATGCAGATAATGACTTCAAACTTGGATATTACTATACACCTACTTTTCCAAGTTTTCAGAAATGTCATAAATTTTCTTAGTCAGAAGGGCACAAATTAAGCGTAAACTTTTAATCTGAGTTGTGATGAATTAAGTCAGCATATAATAATTAATAACAGTAAAATTAATTTATGTATTAGGTTTCAACGAAAGTTCCCAACAACAGCAAACATCCTCTGTGCAGACAGTTTGCGTTGGCATGTTTAATCGTATTTCGTCACACGATTTTTGGCATTTGAAAACAAGAGACTTGCTTTAGAACACTGTCTTGTGAAATTTGTAAAAAAACATCATTAAGTACAATGTGTCTGAAATAGAACTAACACGCTACCAGATTAGAACCATCATTTACTTCCAGTTCTGCTGCAAAAAAGTCAGCTACAGAATGTCATCAAATCAGGTGTATAGTTGTAGGTACTAATGTTGTATCGTACAACACTGTGAAGGTTTGGTACCAAAAGTTCAAAAACAAGGACTATGACATTTAAGAAGCAGAGCGCTCTGGCTGGCTTACTGATGTCGATGACGCCCACCTGTGAGAACTCGTAGAAGATCAGTATACAACCACTCGAGAGCTTGCTAAGAAGTTAGATATTAGTGCCATGTCCATTAGTTGCAATATGGATCGCATGTAACTTGACCTACAAGTTCAATCACTGGGTGCCGCATGAGCTAACTCGGTAAAATGATGCAAAATACAATTTCCATCTCATTTCTCAGATCAATATATTAATTTCCTCATATTACTGTCCCTTTCCAAACAAGAAGGTAAAAGGACAACTGGATACAAATACACCGAGGACTATAAAAGTGACAATATTTTTTTTTAGATAACAATAAACTTATCTTAAATCCTATCTATCAATTCGTAAGTGTATATCTGGTACCGAGTGGAGGGTAGATTCATGTCACTGACAAGACCCATTTTGGAATACAGTTTGGAGATTTACTTCCGTGCTTTCGTTATGCTTGAGCGGGTTCAGTTAAGTGCAGCCCAGCTTATTGATGGCTTATGTAACAGCTTCCTGGCTGAAATAGCCCTCTTTGAATCTGATGTACAACTGTTGAATTTGAGTCACAAAGCTAAACTGTCAAGTACTTTAATATAAACAGTTATGGTACTCATAACCATACCTCTATACTTCTTCATGACTGTGTTCCTAATTAAAGATTAAAAAGAAACAGCTCTTTTCCTTTAGCTTATCTCATGGGTTTAATAGATACAGCTGTTCAGAGATACTCACTGAAACATACTATCCACCCATTGGAAGGACTTTCTGGCATCCTTTTTCGCACAGATTTAATCTCTCATACCAATAAAAAAATGGAATTGTGGCAGTGCAGTCTTCATTAGAACACATATTAACAGCTTTAATATTGAGACTAAAAAGCTTGACCACGCTTCGGTTTTTCATTCTGAGCTTATAGCAACTGAGAAGGGTCTTAAGGCTGCATACACTTGCACTGCCTACAAAAATATCTGAATTTTGACTGACTGCTGCAGTTCCATCCAGCATCTGCAAAATTGATCTTGTACTGGTGATATGAGTTCAATCTCTATTTTGGCTTTAGTGCAAAAATCTCTTCCCATCATGATGTACACCTGCAATAGATCCCTTTACATATTGACCTTAGTGGTAATGCAATGAGTGATGTCCTACTAAAGAGAGTACTTCAATGACTCTGACCACTGGCCCCCTGAACTTTTTGGAGATCTTTGGCAGGCAGCTGGGAGGTGCTATTTATTGCTTTTGGGGGTAATGTGCTCAGCAAACTACGTTGACGAGACTCCTAAGTGGACACCTGAAATGCCTTTGACCGGGGAAATAAGATTTACCCTATTTGTGGAAATGTGACACTGATCATTTCAATCCTGAACATCTTCTTATCTGCTCGGGACTTGTAAAAGACCTACTTTAATTTTGGGTTTATTGATGGTTCTTGGACTCATAGATCTAATGGTTACCTGGTTAAGATCAGTAACAACAAATCTGCATTATTATTATAATCTAAGAAAATGGTACAAAATTTGAGGCAGAAAATTCCCCGTCTGTACAAAATATATAAACAATTACTCTCACATACTGAGGAAGGGGTGGGGACTGCTGCCAAACAATTATGTTTCTGTCATCAACTTCAGCCAACAAATAGCATATTTTCGGCTAAATTGGAAAAAGAAGAGTCACTAAATTTATAATGATAAAGAAGAGGCCAACTTAAAGGCCAAAAATCTGCAGGGTGGCTTCAGTTTTAAAGAAAAACATTATGAAGTGTTAGGGATTTCCCTAACTTTCTTTCAAGATGCAAAAGTATTTTACCAAAATTACATTTTCTCATTGGATATCTCCGTACTTCCTTATTAAAGCAGCCAAGCCATCAAAGTTTGGTGGCCACTCTGACACATAAATGCAAATATCTGTGCAGATTTATATGCTACTTTTCAGATCATAATACATCATTTGGATGTTGATTTCATTAAATGGGGGGGGGAGAGAATCTCATTATTTGCATGAATTTTAGTTTTCCTTTCTTACTGCACGATATCATGCCACAACAGAAATTTTACCCAACCATTACTTTACAAATTTTTTTAAAAAACCCATATCTAATTATTACAGTAATATACAAATGTTTTATTCTCGAATGCATGGCTGTTAATATACCGAAACAAAATAAAATTGTTAAAAAAATTAGTTAAAGGAGATTTGAATGCATTTTTTTAAACAATGAAAACAAGATACTTTTAAACATAAAATACATACCTTAACCAGAAGATTTTTAAAGTAGAGATGCATTTTCCTTTCTGAATTATAAGCCTTCTTAAGTTTTATTATATCTTTCTGGAAAAAAAATCACAAGACATGAAAAAGGAATTCATTAATAATGACCAAAATTTTCATATAAAAAGAACAAAACAGAAATCCACTAATTACCAAGAGATTTCCATTAAGTTTTTTCAAATCCTCCATATCATTAGGATTTTGTGATGCACCATCTGTTTCTTTATTTGTATCATCAGCAGGTACTGGAGCAGACTCATCACTGAAAATTAAATTATTAAAAAGAGAAAAGCAGTATTTCTGTTATGCAATAAAAACTTTAGAAATTTTTACATGAAAAATAAACTCAAATCCTAAGATATCATTCGATTAAGAAGCATTCTGTATTTCATAAATAAGAAACACATACAAGAACATCTAGCAATAAATTTCCATGGATCTAAATAGAGTTTATTGCAAAATTCAAGACAGATTTTACAAATGAAAAAAATTTCTCTTAAAAATCCCTTCTGAAAATTATACCCATTTTATCTGAAATGAGTAAAATTTAAAAAATAAAAATGAAGTAATTAATTATCTTGATTAAGATATTTTATTCATTAGGATTTAAAGAAAAAAGTCAATGTAATTAATAAATTACCATTAAAATTAAGATAATAATTATTTCAACTTTTACCTTAAAGTATATTTACCTAATGTTATTTCAAGATATTGAATTTAGATCATCCAGTTATCAGCAGAGTATCAAGCTCACATACCTAAAGTTATCTTAAATGTAAGCCATCTTTTTTTACAACATTTGGAAATATTTCTGCTAATCTGTACTCACAAATTACAAAATAAATTTGCAGTTTCATTTACTTTTGTACTGAACACAATCTATTATATTAAATTTGTATAAAATATGCTTGTTAAAAAAATTCCAAGGCAAGGATTAAAAAATAAATTTATGGCTAGGCGTAGACTGCAATAAAATAGACCATGTTTTAGTCAAGTGTTAGTATTTAAAATGAGGAAAGGTAAATTTAGGAAGTTTCAAACATATAAAAGCTACATTCATTGCAAAGAATAAAATATTAAGAAAAGAATCAGAAGCGAATTTTGGAAACACTGACAAATAATCTGTTGTATACTGCTATCAAAAAAACTAAAGGTTCCGACACAACAGATAACAAGAAAAAGTACCAGATAGTTGTTCCCAAAATAATGCATATAGACAAAAAGCTAAAAGAATTCTTTGACTTCTCATTCTGCTAAGTGACAGCAACTACTTCTGAAAGCAAATTGTATTTGTTTAAGATATGTCCAGAGAGAAAGCCATCATAATTTTCCAGTTTGAATACTTGAAAAACAAAACTTGCAGTCTAGTCTCAAGAGCACAATTATAATCAAGTGAAAAAACATTTATGAATAAAAAAAAAAATTTTAATCAGACAAAATCATGTAGGGGAGGGAATCTTAAGTTTAGAGCAAACACAAGTAAAATTTTCAAAATGCTGCACAGCTGCCAACTATAAACTATCAAAAATGACAAGATTGTCTCCATGAAACCTGGATGTTGGTAGGAGGTTTTGGTGCTGCATGGCAATGTCATTTTAAAGAATTCCAAACTGACTTGAATTATTTTTATAATGTATAAGTCTTGTTATTGAACTATTTATAACATGATTTTGATGAAAAATATCTCTATATGTAATTAGATATCGTAATTTTGTGTTCTTTAGCTAATTTTATTTTATAATTTTTATTCATTTATCCTGAGAAAATTCTAATCCAAAAAAAGAACAGCTTCTATTTGTTAAGGGTGCTTTTAAATACACTGAAAATAAAATTAATAATTAATATACATACTACTGTACATACTTGGTAATGTACCATATATTGGTGTAAAACAAAATTACATATAAATATTAATTAGTTAAACACTAGTTGATTTATATCAGATTGAGAAAATTCACATCAACTAAAACTGAATACTAAAATACTAAAAATCACTATGGATGGGGGAATGGAGTGAATTCAATGAATTTCATTTCCTGCTAGAATATATTTCCCTAAGTAAAAGCTGAAAAATTAAAATCTGGGAGATTTGTTGACCTATCGTAAGAATGGAAGATGTGATGAAAAATTAAGAATCTCCCTGTAAAGCCAGAACAGTTTGATCTGTCAAGTGTTGGTGCTATCAGACACCTAGTATGTTAAAGAAGTTGATTCATTAAAAATTGATCATATCATTACAATTTCGGTCTCCCCATAGATATAACAAAAACAACTTCTTTTTCAAACATTTAAACAAAAATATTAAATCAATATTCTGAAAAATACAATAAACGAATACCAATACCGTTTGTTTTCACATTTATTAGATTTTGGAACCGTAGAATGCTTCGCAGCCTGCAAGAAAACAATTTGCTTCTCAGTATAATGCAAACAGTAAAACAATTAATCAGTATAAATAATAAGGTTATTTAATTTCCCTTTTTTAATTTAATTTTATTTTATATCAAAAATGAAACACACACACAATATATTTCAAATTCCCTACCATTTGGTTTTTAAATTACTTTTATAAAAAATACTCAAATTATTTGAAACATAACCTACTTCATAAAATATGTATTTGAATAATAAAAATTTCATCATTCATTTTAAAGAATGCCAGAGACATGACATTTTTTAATGAGCTATACCATGAAGGCAGCTTGCAATAAAAATCAAATCTACATAAATGGTTATGTGCAAATGATTGGCATGTTAACACATGCAAACAAAGCAGGTATCAGTAAAGACATCTACACTGTGTATAAAATGTGAAGACTGCACAGTGGATGTCTCATTCCAAAATATGTTGGTTGTTTGTGTAAAGGTCATGTTATGCCATGTGTAAGAAGGAGAAATTCCTCTATCACACGTCAAAATTCAACAGCAGCAGGGCCATGGCCAATCGGGATTGCAGGTTTATTATTCCATGACACTGCTATTCATCACTGCATGTTGGTTGGAATCGCATGACCCAGGAAAACCCCTGTCACCCGTGTGATCACATATTTACATCACATATCCTGGGGTCAAGAGCTTGACTTGAGTCCAGGAAGACAAGTGTCTGTTCAGACAGGGTGAGAACATCTGCAACATCTCGGACTCTCAAAACGGTGACTATTGCTGTCGCTCCCCTTTGATGCTTCAGCAAAGACAAGCACATCTGCAGTTCTGCAATGATCCATGACACAGGATACACACAACATCATCTTTTCATACCAATCCCAATTCTGCATATAGCATTATAATAGACACATCCATATGTGGAAACACACACACACACACACAAAAAAAGTTTCTAGCTTGCATTCATCATCATCATCATACGGACACAACACCTAGCATACAGGGTGCCATTGCATAAGTATATATCCTGGGTACCTCTTGTTTGTACATTAGCTGGTTAAGAGGACAGCCATCATTACATGCCTGATGTGTTAAAGCCGATCACTATGCCCTATCTTTGAGGCCTGCATGATGACATTTTTCAACAAGATAATGCATGACTGCATATTGCCTATGCTGTTTTGACCTTCTTAAATACAGAAGGTGTCTGACTGTTGCCCTGGCTAACACATTCTCTACATCTCTCACCCACTAAAATATTTGGTCATGATTTGCTGAAAAACCAACACGCCACCACTCACTAGCCACTACACTTTAACTCTATGCCACTACGATCTGGCATAGAGTTAAAGCCACATGGAATGAAGCACTTTATCCGTCATCCAAGCTGTCTGGAGAGTTCAACTCACTGCCCAGACAGATTACAGCTTTTCTTGCAGCCAGAGGTGGCAGCTCTGCATACTGAATTCTGCATGTTGTGTAACCCAAACCACCTACAAATTTAATTATGTCTTCCTCCCATTATACTGTATATGTACAATAAATAAGCTTTCCTTCTTGGCGTAGCAATATTAATGACAGCAGTGTATTATAACATTATCATATTAATATGACATTTCTTTTCATATTTTATCACTATAATGTAGAACAGAACTATTTTTGAAAAGCTTTCTTAGGATGATCAAATTTTACTGAATTATCCACTGAAAATTTGATCTGAAGAAAAATTACTGAGACCCAAGATATTTTTTGTTGAGAAAACAGATTATTAACTTTTTGATGAAAGAGTATGATAAAGTCACTGTATAATGTAACATATGGTCAAGATTTAATTTATAAAAATTCTGGAATCATGAGAATGGCTGCCAGTTATAATGATTTATTTAACTGAATACGGCAAAGCATGTGAAGGACAGTTATTTGCCAAAAAAGAGAGATCTTTAATGAAAACTTTCTCTTCTCATCATCTGAACATGATGTAAATCAGGGTTTCTTAAACCTTTTTCAGTCGCAACCTCCTTTTATCACTGAGATTTTTTCGCGACCCCCAGGACCCCATAATATTTACAAAAATTTTGTGGGACCCCATTAAGTATTGCTGAAATCCAACACACGCGTTAGTGAAACTGTCAGTTTTTTCAGTTGTACTGTAATGTACTATTGCAGTTTTAGGTCATTAATTTCTATTTTAAGGCATAGAACAATGTGAAATTTTTAAATAAGTAACAGACGAAATGACAGCGTCACGTGCAAAGCAAGGAAAATGAACATTTGTATTATAAAAAGAATGTGTCGAAACGTTTTCCTTGTTTTCTTTTTCTGTATTGTCTTATCTTTATCTATTTTCAGATACATTGTGTAAAAATATTTGGCAATTGTAAAATTATAATAAGTTGAAAGAAATATCCAAAACTGCTAAAATTTTTGGCTACCTCCTGCTGCAGGTCCCGTGACAGCCTTGGGGGTCGCGACTCACAGTTTCAGAAACCCTGATCTAAAGCACTGGATATTCCATATTTCAAAAATTCCTTTAACAACTGTTTCATTTTCCCATGCTGCATACTCGGACATCAGATTTTTCCTTTTGGTGCAAGATCAATGTTTGCAACCTGAACAATCATGGACACCAATTTTACTGGGTGAACAAACATTCATCCAACAAAAATGGGTTTTGTGCTCAGTTGTTAAATTAAAGTGCTGCTGTATTGCCACATGCTCGTGTGTTCTTATTTCTGATCATTTGTGTGTTGCACCTTCCCCTGCTTTTTTGTGAAAAAACGTATAGCTCAGACACAAGAGAATATGATATATTGGTTGCTTTAAAAACTTTTTGACATATTTGCAGGTTTAATCCTTTACTAACCCATAAACAATAAATTTATTTTCTGCATTTTTATTCATACAATTACTAGGCAAATTCATCAATGCATCTGTGTCAAATTAGGTTGGTCACTACTGCGAATTCAAACAAATACTGAAAGTTCTTCACTTTTATTGCAGAGAGATGTTAAATGTGATTCATGAAAGAGAAATAGTAAACACCAGTGTCATTTATACAAATAAATATGAAACTGTTTTACCCATCATGAACAGTTGTTCTGTATACAGAGACTGTCCCCATAGTGAAACTCCTTTCTTCTACACAATAGTTTATAAGTAATGATTCAGTAGCAGTGTTTTTTTCAAGATTTGAAACAAATCTGACAATATTTAAAGGCAGGACAAGTTTTCAGTGATTAACAAACAGCAATGATAAAAATTACAAAGAATTTTAACTGAAATTTTATTTTATTTCTGAAACTTTACTGATGCTACCATAGCCATGCTTTCAGATATTCACAGACATTTATAACTTTCAAACAGAAGGAATTCTTAATCACACCAACAAGGAAACATACAAACAAAATATGAATGTGTCTTGCCATTAGTTTAATCGGTTGAAAGGTTGCTTTTAATTACAGATTTAGAATAACTGCTAATTTTTTCCCACAAAAGATTATGACAAGGAGAAGGCTTCTGAACACTGGTATAGGGATTTTTTATTTAGTTAGATATTTTACCCGGGTACATTCAAGAAAACTTTAAAAAGTTCATCCTATCATCTATTGTATTTATAAATTTTGTTAGACTGTAAAATTTTTACAATGGAGTCCTCACTTAAGAAATTAGATCACTACTCACGGTGAAAGACATGATACATAAAGAATGACTCTCTTGCTAAGATGCATTATTTTGTGGCTGCATACTTTATAAACTGTTTTAAGCTACACCCAAAATTATTCAAAATATGAAATGTTGAAAAATTGTTTCACAAGAAAATAGTAAAGTTAAATTAAATGAAAATAATTCTCTTGCACCATTCCTGCAAGGAATGAAATTTGAATTTAACAAATATTCTCTATTCGTATAAAGCAAATATAAAATTAAAATTTAATTAAGAAATTTAAATTGCAAAGAAATAAAAATAAAAATAATTATTATTGCTGCGAACTAATTTATAATATCATTTAAATTCTAAGAGCATATGTAAATTAATTGCACATGAAAAAAAAAAAAGAAAGGCTCAGACCAAGTACTGATGAAATGGATTGAATTGGATTGTTAAGTTATTGCAAAGCAGGGCTATCTGCCCTAAAAGGATGGATGCCTTTGTGAAGAACTTTCTAAAGGAAACCAGCTGCCATACACATTACAATGAGAAAAACCATGAAAACGCCCATGCAACCAGCCCATTTGGCGGGATTCGAACCCAGGATCAAACTTCCAGTGTTCAGCGACTTTGCCGCTCGGCCGTTTGTGGGCTTTTATGAAATGGAAGGCGATAACTTTATTTAAAATGAATGTCAGAAATACCAAGATGTTTTGAAAAGTTGGATGTTTTTTAATATATTTGCAGAATGCCTGAAGAAAAAGAGCAAGCCATCAAGAAGAAAAAAATAAATTTTTGCGTAAAACTTAATATTTTTTAATTTAAAACTTTTTAATCTTATGATATTTGATTCTTGCGATTTCAAAAATAAAATATTAATAACATTTTTAAAAAACTAAATGTAGGATGATAAAATTGTGTAAAGCAATCAGCACAATGTTAAAGCTATTTAAAGCAATATATGCAAGTCAAGTTAAAATGTCGGTTATACATCTTTCTCATTTATATATCTTTTCTGAATGGAACATTGAAAAGCATGTTAACTGTGCTTTACTGTATTTTCTCTTTTAATATATTCAGCTTTCAGATGCATTGGAGTCTGGGACACAAAGTATTCTTCCGAAAGAAACACAATTCAAATAAATAAAATAAAATCCTGGAAAATTTATATTAACAAATATATTTAAAATGGTCAGTTCAAATGAATAAATAGAAAGTTTGAAGAGATAATGCAACACAAACAATTAAAATAAAAGTCTAAAAATTTTAAATTACCTAAAATAAGTACTGTGACAATATATATATAAAGAAAACTAATTGGAAAAAAATAAACGATGCACCTTATATTTAAACTACGCAG